AGATAACAGAACTAAATCTTTAAAATGATCAGCAAAATACCCTTTTATCTATTTCTTCTATGATTTCCATATGACGAGGAAGAAGCTTCCACATCAAAGATTGTGACCATTTCTCCAAGGCTTCAGGAAGGACGGTATGATTGGTGTAAGCAACGGTCCTGAAAATTTTACAAGTAAGTCCCAACATAAAACTGGAAAAAATCTGTTTGCAAAGATGAGAGGTTTAATGCATAAATGTAATACCTTGATGTCACATCCCAAGCTTCGTCCCATCCAAGCCCATTGTCATCCATTAGCAATCTCATGAGCTCGGGGATTGCAAGAGTAGGGTGTGTGTCATTCATTTGAACAGCAACTTTACTTGGAAAGTCTGACCATTTCCGGCTACCTTCGCCGGTACTCCTCTCTTTAAATCTTGATATAATATCCTGCAATAGGCTTCCATATTGTGAAGAGGAAATTTTAAAATAATGAATCAATTGCAAGAAATTATGTTAGTGAACTTGTAGTTAGTTTAGGGAATATTTTCCAGTTGATATGCCAACTTGCAATAGTAGCGCATTTCAATTTTGCCCACTACAAACCGTTTACGACCCATAATGACATGCAGCCAGCTATCAGAGAGTAGTAGGTTAATCCAATACACTATTGCTTCAGAAGAAAATGGAAGCAACCTACAACTAAATTGACAAACCTGAAGCGAAGCACTGCAGAGAAAGAACTGTTGTTTCAAACGTAATAGCTTCCCATTCTCCGTAGCATCTCCTGGATATAATACAGTGCAAATCTGCATACAAATGAATTCATTGCTTCAGAGAAACAAAAAGCCACAAAGCAATAAAAAGGGTGGAGCTTTATGTAGAGATGAGAAGTTATAACCTGTTGAGCTCGAGAATGTAGCTGTGCAGCCAATTCATATTCTCCTTCATTGAACTGAAAGAGGTCAAGATCCTCTGCTCTAGCTTTTGCTTCCCAGAGGCGGAGACTGATTGTGTTCTTCGTTTTATATCCTGGGATCGGGACGTCATAAGCAAGAGCTTGTACAACATCACCGCCTACCCACTTCCGCCTGCAAAATGGTCAATCGATCCATTGAAATGCTTAATATCAATCTCAACGAAAAGTCAGAGAACACATAGTAAACTCACTAGTGTATATATGTACAGAAATTTCAAGTACAGGCGTATGTTTAGTCATGTAAGTTCCAACAGTAATACTTACGATCCATCCGGATTTATCTCCACATTGCCGAAAAATCTGACAGGGAATACTACATCATGCCTGACGATTTCCCACGGGCTGAACTTCTGCAAGTTCCCATTAAAAGAGGATGAGTTACAGTCTCAGAAAACGATCTACTGAAACCACCACACTGATAATCATCACCTCAAGCCAGTCCTCTGCAACCTCTTCTTGGCCTTTCTTTGTGATAAGTTGCTTAAACAGCCCATGTCTGTACCTCAACCCATAGCCCCAAGCAGGCAAATTTAAGGTGGCCATCGAATCCAAGAAGCACGAGGCGAGTCTCCCCAAACCACCATTTCCCAGAGCTGCATCTTTCTCCTACAATTTCACGACTTAAAAAGCTCAAACATCTCCAATGGAGAGATTTATCAGTGTCCCAAGTCTACAAAGAGGAAAATGGTAACTCAAAAGTACCTGCTCGGCTATCTCCTCAAGCTCATAACCCAGCTTACGTAGAGCATCAGCATATGGACCTTGAAGGTCCAAATTTCCAATTGCATTAGTCAAAGCACGACCTTGGAGATACTCCATTGACAAGTAGTATGTTTGCTTTGGATCAACTTTGTCAAAATGAAGATAAGTCTCATTCCACAGCTGCAAAAACAATTCACACAACCCACTTTATCCCCATGTCCATATCACTCTCTCTCTCA